ATCATTATGGGAATAAAGACCTATTATTATCATTATTATATTGTGACGTTAACCATTTTGTAGATTGTTTTCCTACGAAGATTTTCAATAGCTTTTCAGAATATATTCATCAAATAACGGACTTAATCCTGAATCTTTCGAAAACACTTTTTTGGTAGAAGAAGAAAAAAGTTCTCGACCTCAATTTCCACATAACTTGTGAACTGCTTGGTAAATACTCAAACAATACTTTTCAAGGTCTTCCCCGACTCAATACAAATATCGAAATCAATATACCTAAAAACATTTTAAAAACCTAACATCTATATGCTATGCTTTTTAATGCAATGATATTGAAAAATGTCATAGAAACTATTTTTTGATAATTCCACTTTTTCATCTCAAAATTCTAATAGAATCTCGATGTAACACACATTGTATATACGTACATTTCAAATGGTTTGATCGAAAAGAAATCCGGAAAGATTCATCAGTATGGAGGTGATATTTTTGAATACTCTTATAAACAATTCCATTTCATTAACAAGTCAATTCGTATTCAATTATATTCAATTAATAAAAACTATTTCATATGCACAATGGAATATTCGACATTTAGCTGAAACCAATATTTCGATATTCATTTGAAATTGTTATTCATTCTATTTTATATGTGTCAGTAGCTTGTCAAAATCATAACGAATACACGATTTTCATGACACGTTTATTATTAACGATACTCTCGATTATTTATCCTATTAGACATTCCAATAGCAATCATTCTCCATTTGCCATGTATATTTTCTTGAAAATGATTGATTCAATAGCTGTTTATTCATTTGAAATATTTCAACTATCAATTATATTATTAGATTAATATCGTAACGTATTGAAGTAGTATTTGATATTTTAATGATATTGCGAATCTGTTTTTCGTCAAAATTTGTTTTTTCGTTAACCAGCAGTCGCTTCCCTACATACGACATCCCTCAGAAATCGAAACTCGTGCAAGTTGAGAATCAACGAGGTTTTACCTTTTCAACGTGCGATTCCTAGCACGTTGAAAAAAAAGTTTCCACATTGAATATTTCGTGTCAGTTTCGACAAATTTACCAGTTTTCTAGTTTCATACTTCTTTGCAATCAGTCCCGTTTACTGTTAGAATGGAATCCACGTGTCTATATTATTTCTGCGTGTAGGTGGTATATGTAACTGATAGTTACTTGCGGAAATTAAATTTTGGCCGATTATTCAGGTAACCTGTAATTCATCAACTTGGGAACCTTTAGCGGTGGCACATCGTATCAGAGAATGTCCAGTTCAAATGATACAAAAACCCGAATTGGTTTTTCGAGCCGGCATTCGATCATTTCGTTAGCATTCTCGCCACGGAGCAAATCGGGTTTTCTTTGGTTGGTGTAGTAGTAGTAGATTACAGCCGGTTCTAGGCCTCCCCCCACCACTATGACATATCAATTGCTTTTTTTGTTGTTGTTTAGTAACATCAAGACGATGTGACCTTGAAAGGTCTGGTGCATGGATCGTTCAGAATTTTTTCCATATGAGATTTTGTGTGTGTGTGTGTGTATGTGTGTGATATAGTGACGTAATTACATTTGATTGGTGTGTGGGTGTGTGTGTGTGTGGGAATGCACGGTACAGGGTTTCATCATGTGCTTGTCTATGCACAAACATACGTCTGCATACTTCGAAGATCCTTCAAGTAATGAATGTTCCTTCGGTGTGAGCCCACCAAGTTAGTAGTGGTGCAAGATGTTCACTTCACGACGTGTGGCTCAGTAATGCGTATTCATCGGTGTGCCCTCACTTCTCTCGATACAGTGAAGGCTGTGACGTAACGCATCGCTCTAGCCTCGCTATCGATGGTGACAGGCAGGCGGCCGAGGACTGTCTGCTCAACGTCTGCCCTCTCCGAGAGCACAACGACCATTGCGGCGCTTCAGCTTGTCCCTTGTTTCATTTTCGTAGATGTGTGAAACTCAATTTTTCCACATCTTCGACGATATTATAAATTCTTGAAGATTGCTATCGTCACTAACCATTTGTGGAAAGCTCATTATGAGATTTGTCAAACCGATCGTCGTCTTTCAATCAGTCAACCCACAACCCCTCATCCGTAAGATCTGCTAGGGATGCTATCATTGATGTAGGGAATAAACCTCTTGATTCTTTTCATTTCGGTACTATTATTAATGGTATATACCTTTTGTTATATATGTGATAATTTGAGTGGTTCCAACGGACATTTATTTTTTGTTATAATTAACGAAAACGATTTTTTGAATCTTAGATACAATGAACACATTCCATGGCAACGACCCCAGTTCCGCCATATCAACAACCCATGAAAATGTTGAGAAAGTGAAGAAAATTCTTATAGAGAATCGTCGAATCACAATTGGAGAAGTTGCTGAGGATATCAACATTTGCTATGCAATTTTTCCGTAATTTTGGGCATGAAGCGTGTGGCAGCAAAGTTAGTTTCAAAATTGTTAAATTTTAACCAAAACAACCATCGCATGAAACGCGGAATTGTTGAATGACATCAACGGCGATCAGATTTGCTAAAAACTAAAACGAATCATCGGTATATGACATCGAAATCAAAGTTCAATCGTCCCAATAGAAGAACCCAGGAGGGCTGAGACCAAAAAAGCACGTCAAGTTTGATCAAATGAAGAAGTTTTGCTCACTGTTTCCTTAATTTACCATGGCGTAGTGCATTAGAAGTTCTTGCTACAGAGTCATACGGTCAATGACGAGCGAGGAGCAATACGAACGAACAAAATGTCCTGTAGTATTGATTGGTCGGTCGGTAGCCAAGCGGTTCGGCGTGAGTGTTTTGTTCACTCACTCGAATTGACTGCCGTGTTGGTCGGTGGTTCAAGCCCTAGTCTGAACGATCGATTTTCACTTGCTATCGTCTAACCCGTATTAGGAGTCACACGTTGAAAGGTAAGACCTCGCACAAGTTTTGACTTTTGAGGATTGTCGTTCGTAGGGGTGCGACAGCTGGTTAACGGAAAACAGATTTTAAACAGATTGTGGAAGAACCATTCATGTGTTTTGCATGATGATAATTCATCTGATCACTTGGCATTGCTAATTCGTGATTAGCACTGTTATCATACCCCAGCCACCGTATCCACCAGATTTGGCCTCCTGCGAATTTTTCTTGTTACCAATATTGAAGAGACCCATGAAAGGACGGCATTTTGCGACGATTGAGGAGATAAAAACTGGGTCGCTGAGAAAGATCAAGGACATACCAAAAAGTGCATATCAGAACTTCTTCGAGGGTTGAAAAGAAAACGCTGTCACAAGTATATTATATCTGAGGAGAACTACTTTGGATGGGATAAAATAGAAACTGATGAATTAATAAATATTTTTTGAGAAAAATTGAAATTCACGTCATTTTTTGAAAAGACAGCGTATATTAAAAATTATTGATGCAGTTTACTGTAAGATTTCCACTATAAAAGGTTCTATAAAAACAAGTTGCAACCATTTCATATTCCAATTACATTAGTGATTTTACCTGAAACAAACAAAGGAATATATTCATCTATTATTTGGTTTTTAATAAAAACATGTAAATAAATTAATGATTATTACACAGTAATTATTCTAGCAGGGAAAATAAATGATGAGAACAGATCAGCGGAGTAAATGAAATCAATTTGATTTATGAGATACTGACAGAATGAATTGGTTTACCTCACTGACTCCAACTTTTCAGAACATGTAACTCGTCTATTAGAAAAAAATGTTATAAGAAAAATCAAACCCAACATAAATTAAATAGATTCAAAAATTTTGTAAATTCTTGCTGCATAAAATTTTAGATCTGTAAGAAAAAGTAGGTTCAATACTTGTTGAAATTATTGAAAATAAATGGGTAGCGGTGACTGGGAATGAACAGAAATGGAATGAGGTTGGACATAGCAGATCACCTTCAACAGCAAGGCACTTCCTGCGGCGGGCGCCNTTAGACACTCAATTTCTGTTCTGCATTTTTGTATTTCATTTTTATTATGTTGATGAATGAATGCGATTATATATATTACGAAATTTGATAGCGACGTAAGTAATTATATGGAAAATAGTGAAGGTTGAACTTTCAATGAAAATAGGTGAATCTTGTGACATGTTTTAATATCATATGAATTGTGAAATGTAATGAAATAATAGATTCAATTCAATCCAAAGTTTTTTCTCCTGTTGAGATTATTCAATAAAGCTATTTTTCATATTTTTCTGCTAATTGTTTCGTTTTATACTGGTGAATTGCAATCTATCACCAGTTGCAATGCTCTACTACTAAAATGTGTTTTGTTATAAAAATAGTAATAATAATTTCTGCCGTACTAAGGCAGAAATCTT